AACGAATAAACAAAACCAACCCTGCAGCCCTAGATGGTCAACAAAAGGACTTATGTGCAGGCATATAAGCCTAAACAGTGGCCATGGACAACAAGGGGGTGGGAGCATATGTGGGGAGGGGTTTGGGATGGGAATGGGGGGGATGAGGACAACTATGTGATACCATAATCAATCAATCAATAAATAAAAATTTTAGATTATAAATTATCTTTAACTTCATTTATAATAGAGCTAAAATGAAAGATGACACGGGGTGGGAGGTAAGGTAATGGGGAACAGGGTATTGGAGTGAGAGTAAGAAATGGTAGGTAGAGAGGAAGCAATACAGTCCCCAAAATCTTAGTTTAGCCCTTCATCTAATGAACTGAAGATTGCTTGGACTACAGAATAACTTGTTTCATATTTTAAAAATCATGTTTTAAAATTGGACTGCTTAAAAACTATCCTATCACCAGTGATTTATTTTTCTGGGTGTCTATCACCTCTACTGTGTCAGAAGCCTCGTTCAGTCCTTCATCCCCTCCCACATGGATAAAGGCCTGGCTGGTTTCTTTTGACTCCATTCCCACATCCTAGAACGCAGACTTTATACCTTTTATACATTCATTCAATCAACACTGGTTGTGTATTCTTTTAGTTTATTTCCCACTGTTGTTCATACACATCCATTTTGCCAACAGGTCTCTTTATTGGGTTATTCTGCCATCCCTGAACCCTGCTTTTTCTGGAATGCCTTCTTCTTTTCTACCAATCTGTCTACTTACCTTAAAGGATTCCCAAATTACTCAGTCCAAAGTGACCTCTCTGAATTTACATTCAGCTCTTGCTCTTATGTGGTAGAGTGGGTATAATGATTTAGCTTTTTTTTTTTTTTTTTCATGTCTTATGTTGTTCTGTTCTTATTTAATTTGTCCAGCTAAATTCCTACTCACCTCTACTGGGAAGTCATTCCTGATCCATGTCTGAATTATGTACTATTCTACTGGGTTACCACAGCTCTCTGTGCTTACTCTTTTTTTTTTTTAATATATTTTATTGATTTTTTACAGAGAGGAAGGGAGAGAGAGAGCTAGAAACGTCGATGAGAAACATCGATCAGCTGCCTCTTGCACACCCCCTACTGGGGATGTGCCCGCAACCAAGGTACATGCCCTTGACCAGAATCGAACCTGGGACCTTTCAGTCCGCAGACCAATGCTCTACCACTGAGCCAAACCGGTTTTGGCTCTGTGCTTACTCTTAACATAACTCATCCACACTGTGCTGTGATTACTGAGTTGAAACAGGGCCCAAGTCTACTAGCTTCTAAAATGCAAATATCTAGCAGGAAAATATTAAAACACAGTAACTGACTCCTACTTCTGACAGCATGGATAGAGAAAGGGCTTTCCCATTAAAATACAACTAGATCCTGGACAAATCATAGCAAGCATGATATTTAGCACATTGCTGAGCTTGCTAGAAAGGGAAATCACAAAAAGAAGAAAAAAATAAGATCAAGCTGAAACCTATGAAGGATGATCAACATGCAGTAGGAAAAGCAGGTCTGCCCTAGGTGTTAGGACAAATGCCAAAACCAGTATTGTGAGCAGAAGCTAAACCTTAGGACTAACCAAGGAAGGAGAACAAAACTGGCACTCCTGAATTAAACTGGGACTCTTGAAGGGGCCAGCACAGTCCCAGGTCAAAAGCAACTTTTGGCTCCTAGTTTCTGAAAGCAAATACAAATCCTCTCTGGAGAAAGCTACCCACAGCTGAGACCCTCTGGATTCCTGTAGATTAAGTTTAACAAAATGTGAGCTCGAAACCCCAACATGGAAACTATTTAAGGAAACAAGCTACCACAGGCAAAACAACAAAACAGATTTAGACATCCAAGGTAAGTTACAGAATATAAAATAACAATCCCAACAAATTCCAAAGAGCTGGTATCACAGAGACCACATTCTCTGGGCACAAAAGATTAAGCTGAAAATATATATTAAAAAAAAGATATATTTTAAAATATTCAGGCACTTGGAAATTATAAAACTCTTTGAAATAACTCATGAATCAAAGAAAGTCATGAAGGGTAATTTAAATATTCTTAGAACTAAATAACAAAATAGTTTACAACAGGAAACTTGGAGAATGTAGAGAAGCAAGTCCTTAAAAAACTTACACTAGGGAAAAAAAAAGTTTGAAAATTATGGTAATTAGATAAGTATCAAAATTAAGAAATTATAAAAGAACATAAAATTAAATCTAAAGAAACCAAAAGGAAGGAAATACTATAGATCAGATCCGTAATTAATGTAATGAAAAATGAATACACAAAGGAGAGGACCAACAAAACCCAAAATAATAACTGGAGAGAAGTAGCCCTGGCTGGCATGGTGCATGGGGTTCAGCATTCTCCAAGGCATCAAAAGGTTGCAAGGGGTTGTGGGCTCAATTCCCAGTGGGGGGCATACAGGAGGCGGCAGATTGATGTTGCACTCTCACATTGATGTTTCTTCTCTCTGTCCCTCTCCCTTCCTCTCTCGCTAAAAATCAAATTATTTACTTTAAAAAGATAGAGAAAACAACAAATTTCAAATTTCTGATGGAGTTGATTAAAGGAAGAAAGCACAAGTAGTAGAAGTGAAAAAGAGGACATGACTACACAGAGCAAAGACAAAATTTTTTTTTTTCACTTTATAAAAGACATAAAATTGCCCTTGACGTGTTGCTTAGTGGGTAGAGCATCGGCCTGCAAACTGAAGGGTTCTGGGTTCGATTTCAGTCAAGGGCACATACCTAGGTTGCAGGCTGGATTACTGGTCTGGTCAGGGTGAATACAGGAAGCATCCAATTGATGTGTCTCTCACATCGATGTTTCTCTCCCTGTCTCTCCCCCTCCCTTCCACTCTTTCTTAAATACTTTACCTAATTATACTAAAAAAGAAATGAAAGCCTAAATAGCCTATAATTATTGAAGAGATTGGATTAATAATAGTTAACATTTTCCCCACAAAGAAATGCCAGGCTCAAATGGTTTAACAGGAGAGTCTTACCACTTTCAAGGGATGGCTCATTTCAATCTGATAAAAACTCTCCCAAGAGGAAACAGTCCCCAATTCAGGATATACAGACCAAAAAAACCATTTTAGAAACCTTGCTAAAAACAAAAGCACTAACATCCACAAGAATGCTCATAGCAGCATTGTTTTATAATAGCAAAACCTGGAAATAACCCAAAGCCCATTGATAGGTGAATGGAAAAATAACTTGTGGTTTATGTACTGATGGCATAGTATACAGATGAAAATGAATGAATCATAGCTACCTACAATATAGATGAACCTTAGAAATAAATGTTAAGTGGAAAAAAAAGCAAACTACAGGATATTATTAAGAGAATAAATTTTTCATAAAGCTAAAAGCAAAACTGAACATTTTAAAAGGATATATACATATATATATTAGGTAATTAATAAACACAAAATTAAAGACAGTAGTTATCTCTAGAGTGAGGCAGCGACTAGGAACACAAGAAAGTCAATGATATTTCTAATGTTTTAATGTATAGGTTGGGTGATGGGTCATAGGTAGTCATTTAATTATTATACTTCATAATTTATTCATGTTAAATATATTTTATAGATAACAAACATTACATATTATAATTTTTAAAAATCTGCTGTGGTGGAAATAAACGAACAAATGAAGTCTCCCTGAAAGAAAATCTACATTTCTTGGAAAGAACCAAGATTCCCTGACAGGAGCTACCCTATGCAGAAGACAAAGTAGTAGGTCCTTGATAAACATTGGGAAGATTCCTGCTTTTCCTAACAACCCACCCGGAGGGTCTGGATCCCCTTCCTATTGGAGATCCCTGATACGCAGAGCTACCTTCTCCACACAGCTGGCCTACACCTGGCGAGTCCTGACACCTGGTGGATACAGCATGAATTTAATCAAATGATTAGAAGTGAATCTCACTCTAGTGATAGTGGCAGAAGGGTGGGAGACAGGGAGGCAGAAATGAGAAACTGAAGTTCAGAAACAAGGAAGGAGCTCCATCTCTGAGCCATAGGGGGGGGGGGGGGGGAAGAGGGCTGTCATCTAAAGGAGACTAAAGAGATGGTTCCTAAAGGAGAGAGACTTTCCTCATTTCTTCTGAGACCAGAATAAAAAGAGGTTGCAGCTGCAGTCAGAAAAGTGCAAGACTCTGAGGGGGGAAGCAGGTATAGCTCATCTTAACCCAGCAAGCTAAAATCACTTGTACTTCATAACAGTGGCAGGTGGCAGCCGCCTCCCCAGGAACTTCCCCTCCCAGTCTCTAAGGAGGCCAATCCCACCCTTACTCCACAGGTGCAGCTCAGAGGGAGGCCACGCGAATCAGCACATACAGGCCCCTGGCCACTGGGATTGGATAGGGGTGGGCATGTGACCGTTCGCCTCATCAGAGCGAATCGGAGGGTTTTTGCTAGGATTCTTGGCAGAAAGATGCCCCGTTTCTGATTGGACATAAACGAGGGAACATTTTAATTCTCGGAGTGCTGGCAGCCACAAGGCAGCCCAGGGTTCCTGGGATCCTCCAGAAGGCAGAACAGCGGGGGTGGCGAGGCAATCGGGGATTTAGAGATGTGCCGAGCCCCTGGATCGGCTTTACCTGGAGCCAGCGCTACCTGTGGGCTTGACAGTTACATGAGCCAGTCGGTCTTTACTTTTGAAGCCAGTTTGAGTCAGGTTTTCTGTTCCTTAAAACCAAAAGGATTCCTAGCTCATACATTCATCGTATCACTCCATCCCCATCTTCCCCACAGGATCACACACACGGCTCAGATTGACTAGCGACTCTACAGCCAAGGGTATGGAGCTGAAAAGTCAGAGGCAGGAAGCAGGCACTGCGTTAAGACGGGGCGCCTCGGCTGTCAGAAGAGGACGGATTCCCTTTGGAAAAGAAGAGCCAGAAGAGAAGCAAGCAAGGGCTTTACAAGGCAGACAGGCAGCGCTCACACCCGGTTACGGAGTCATCACGGGGGTGTCGCCTTGGGCTCTCTCTGCTCCTGGGAGGAGGAACTCGGAAGCTTGTGCCCCTTGAAGTCTTTATTACCCTGTGCTCCGGTATCTACCTCTCCCTTCCCCACGTGGAGAGCCTCCTTCTGGCTCCTGCTGCCCCTGATGACGCTCACTCTCTGGTGGGTGAGAGGAACCTTCTCTTCCCCTCCTTTGGCATGGCGGGAGCTGCAAGAGCTGGAACTGGGGGGCCTTCCTCCTTGAGAAGCAGCACCGTCTCCCTGACCTTGGGCGAGCACCGTCCCCTTCTCGGCCTTCCCCCCTAGCCCCGGCCTCTCCGGCCCTCCGGCGGAGTGGCTCTCCTCTCTGGGGGCCCACGTCTCCCGAGGCGACCTGGGGGGCTGGGGAGGGTCCGTGGCAGCCGCCAACTTCTCAGGGGCAGGGTTCCTTTCCCTACTCCCCCCCGATTTCTTCCGAGGGCGCCCCCGTTTTCTTTTGGCATCGCCTCCTGGATCCTCCACATCCTGCTTGGCGGCTTTTGCTGGTGGGTCCTGCCCGTTGGTCTCACTCGCATTAGCCTCGGCTGTCCTCTTGACCCCCTTGTCAGGAGGTCCCGGGTCACCGCCTACGCCCACCTCCCTGTTCTCCGTGCCCAGGGGCGGAGTGAGCCCCCCAGGTGGAGCCTGCCCAGGTCCAGGCCCGGGCCCAGGCCCAGGCAAAGCAGGAACCGTTGGTAAGATCATATTAATGATGGGCATGGCTGCGTGGGTCCCCCTCACTCTATTGGGCACAGGCAGGGCAGTCAACTTCAGAGTGCCCGAAGGAAGCCTGGGCGCCACCATGGACGGAGAGACGGCGACATGCTGAATCAGTGGGCGAGGGGCCCGGGGGAGCAGCAGAGGCAGCCGGGCCACCAGGGCATTAACCTGCGGGTTATTGGCTGGTGGGGCCGGACTCTCTACTGCAGTCTTCTTCCGCTCTCCGTGTGCCGAGGGACCAGCCCCAGCTCGGGGCTCCGGCTCCGGGGGAGGCTGAGGAGGAAAGAGAGGAACACAGTCAGCGGGAAGACGGCCCTGGAAGGAGCAGGCCCGGGAGGTGAAAGTAGGGGACCCCCGGAGGAGGGGTCCATGAAGCCTGAAGGACAGGGCAGCGAGGTCAGGGGCTGAACTCCCTACCTGGGCCGGCCTCTCTGGTTTCTTCTGGGCTCCGCCCTCTGGGTTCTCCACTCCATTCTTGGACTTCGACGTCCGTTCCCGGGGGGCATTCTCGTCCTCTTCTGCAGAAGCGTCGGAAAAAGCGGTAAGTGGAGGAGGTAACGGAAATGGAGGAGGAAGGCAATTCTGACGGGCAGAGGCAGTGGGAAGAAGGCGGCCTAAGGCGTGTCCTAGAAGGGCCTCTAGGAATCGAAGGCAAACTCAGGGTGTCTCTGTCCCAGCGCAGGGCAGGGCTTTCGAAGCTGGAAGTGGCGGACTGAAAGGGTTTCTCGGGACAGCACACACAGGGTCCACCCACCGGCAAGCCCCATGGCCTTGAGCACGTGGGCGTGCGCAGACCGGGCGGAGATGAGATGATGCTGCAGCAGGAAGCGGGCCACCTCGACGATGGAGCTGAAGGACCGTTTCAGGATCCGCTCCGCCCAGTCGCAGGTCAGGGCACAGGCCGCCTCGACCAGTTCATCCCGAGGCGCTGGGGTTACTTCTGGGCCCATTTCTGGCTGCAGTGGGGAAGGACGTGCCTCATAATACTCCAAACTAACAGACCCTGGGCCCCTTTTGAACATCCACGCGGACCACAGTAAAGACCGAACTAGGGATGGGAGTAGCCTGTCCCATCCCGTCTCAGAAACCCACATATGCTCTGCCTCCTCTGCCTCAGCTCAGCCAGAGGGTGGGCAGAAGGCACATCTATAGACTCAGAAGCTACGTGCAGAGTCACCTAGGCTGTGTCAGGCTTCAAAACATGGCCCAAGACCTCTGACTTCTACCCTGGAGAGGAAGAGTGCCATCGGAGTTGTTACTTACACTCTCAGAGCCCTTGAGGTCAAGGCCAGGCAGGGGTGGCATAGAAACCAAAGTCTTTCTCCGTATGCCACTGTAGCAATATCTGATGGAAGTTAAGGAGAAACCAACGTCTGGGGATCACCGAGCCCCTGAGCGAGGCTGGGCCGTGTCTGCTCCTGGTTCTCCGTATCCGTGCGTGTTCCTCCCCAGGCCCTCCGGCCCCAAGCTCTCCCGTCAAGGATACTTGGACTGACCCCGGCCACCAAGCCTTCGGGCCTTGATGTCCGGGAAGATCTCTCTGATGATTTTGCCAAAGTTGGCCGTGCTGAGTGGGCGGCAGCAAGCGAGGCTCTCACAGTACTTCCTGAGTGAGGGGCGGGGGCAGAGCGGGAAGATACTCAGAGAAGGTGGTCATGGGTGGGTTCAGAGGGTCCCTGGGGATGAAGTTTGGGAAAGCTTTCTTAAGAAGAAGCCAGGCTCTTTCAAGGCAGGGAGCTCTCCAGAGACAACGCACCCCTCCACTCCCGCCCGTCCCCCCCCCCGCCCCCCCATCCACCCACCGATAGGCATCGTAAACGCTTTGCTTTGGTAGGCAGGTGTCCGTATGCTCCTCCAGGTGGTTTCGGATCCACTTGCAGGCATACATGTACTCCTCATTGTTAGGTGTGCTTGGCTCTGAGCTGCAGGAGAGTTAAAAGGAAAACCGTTACTAAATTCTCAGCCGTTGTCCTGGTTCTATCCAGACTACCCCTTCACTCAGAATCTACTTTTGATGCATCAGTGCAGGACAGGGACGTTTCTTCTTCATCAAGGACAGCCATCATGCCGAAACCGGTTTGGCTCAGTGGATAGAGCGTCAGCCTGCGGACTGAAAGGTCCGGGGTTCGATTCCGGTCAAGGGCATGTACCTTGGTTGCGGGCACATCTCCAGTAGGGGGTGTGCAAGAGGCAGCTGATCGATAATTCTCTCTCATTGATGTTTCTAACTCTCTATCCCTTTCTCTTCCTGTGAAAAATCAATAAAATATATATATTTTTAAAAAGGACAGCCATCGTGTGAGTATTCCTATTCACTCCACCCCATCCCAGGGAGCCTTTAAGAATCGGAATCTTTGACATCTAAAAGTCTGGCACCAAACATACCTTTTGTCTCCAGTACCGGGCCCTGAGGGGAGCTGAAGGTAGAGATACAGCTTGTCATTGTCTGAAAATTTCTGCACATCTTGCTGAGGTAAGGAAGAACAGGGGCAAGAGAAACAATAAGGCCAAGAAGGACCCAAAGGTGTGCCCTCTGATCCGTACCAAAAGATCTAGCCGACTTAGAGACTGCCAGACTGAAAAAAGTCCTCAGAATGACTTAAGGCTGGGTGCCCGCTGTGCTCTGAGGAACCCGGGGCCGCCACGGCGACAGGGGAAGCCGAGGGGACCGACTGATTTTACAACAGGTCAGAGAGAGATGAAGTGAGATCGATGCTCAAGGTCAAGTTGGGAGTAAGTTGCAAAGCCAGTTATCTTCTGGACAGGGGTAGACATCAACTGCCTCTCTCACAAAAAAAAACTTTCATTTGCTCATGTCTTCACCAACCTCATCCCCCACCAGTTCACTCTCTCTATTGCCCTTTCCCCAAAAATACTCACCAAGATTCCCTCTACTTTGTTCTGCACGGCCTTCCTGTGGAGAAGAGGAAAAAGCGGGAGGTCAGACAAAATCCCCGCCCCCCTCCCCCCCACTCCCCACCAATCCTGCGTCTGACAGCTAGGGAGTGGAGCAGACGCCAAGGTCGGGCAGGTGCTCCTGTGAAAAAAGCAGCTCCCCCTAGTCGGATGCATTTGCTCAGGGAGAAGCAGTTCACTGGCGGAGGAAGTGGGGTGCTCTCTAGGGATCTCTCCTGGGGATCTATATCCAGGATTTGGAGGCGGTGACCAGTACTTACGAGATGGAGCCCCGGAGCGTCTGCAGAAGCGTGGTGGGCTCCCCCACTTCGGCCCCACCGGAGGGGGCCCGGCCCGCAGGCTTCGGGCTCTTAGCGTCAGGTTCGTCTTCTGCCATCCTGGCATGAGGGCGAGAGCTGACAGGAGACAGGCGATTGAACGTCCCTTCCCTGGAGACACCCCTCCAGCCCCCCCATCCTCATCTCTCTACCCAGAGAGAGAAGCAGAAAGCAAGCCTCCGAAATTAGAAATTATTCCCATTACTTCTCCAGGCATATATATATGAAAGATCTTTGCCATCTCCATCCTATCTGCCCCACCTCCCTGCAGGCTCCTATACGTGGAAAAACTGTCAAGGACGAGAGAGACGGGAGGCTAGGGAATCCACGCGAGGGAGAAATGTTCCTTTCCGACTCTGACCTCATACTGCCCTTTTCTCCCTCAAAAAAAAAAAAACAACCACCATCAAACGAAGTTATTCTCATTCTCTACGCAGGCGCCTCACCATTGCATTTTGCCTGGGAGGTCGGGAAGGATACGAACATCTTCTGTCCTTTAGGCTGGGGGTGGTGGGAGGAGGGGAGAGAGACTGGGCCCAAGTTCTCCTGGCTTCATCTCATCCCGCTTCCCCCTCCCCAAGCCGCCAGCCCCTGCGTCATCCCCCCCCCCAGCACCCCATCCCCACGCCCTCCTCCCCCTGCGGCCCTCCCCCTCCATTAATCCCGGGCTGCTGCAAAGCGGGGGGCTCAGGGGAGCGGAACTCCCGGGCCGGGCGCAGGAAGCCCGGCTGGAAGCGGGGGGATGAGGTCCCAGGTTCGGGGCACGTGCACGCGGGTGAGGACGCTGCTGGAAAACACAGCGAAGATGTTTGTTGTTTTTTTTCCTCCTTCTCCTCCCAGCTCCAACGGGCCCCCTCCCCATCCTGGAACAGCCGCCTTCCCGCCCCAGCCACCACCAAGGTAAAAGGGAGAAAGAGAAACTACCTCGTAGCCACCACCTTCACTCCAGCCCAGCCCCACGGTCCCGGCCCGGCGGCGGGCTCGTGCGTTGCTTTATTTTCTTTTTTCTGAGTGGCTGGGGCCGCCCCGATCTGCCCGGATACTCGGCGGGCCCGCTCTCTCATTGGTCGCCGCTGCCACCCGGAGACAGAAGGCGCCGGCTCGCCCGGGCGGCAGCGCGGGTCTGCCTGGCAACAGAATCTGATTGGTCGACAGGGGAGGGAAAATCCAAAATTGGTCTTATTCGAGTCAAGAGGGGGAAGTCCGGGTTAGGTTTCGGTTAAAACTGGGGTCGGTTGGGACTGCAGGTCCCAAGAGGTTCTTCTCTTAAAGGGACCGCAGGACCAAAGTCCGGGGCGCTTGGTCCCCCGTTTTCTTTTTGCTATCTCCTTCCGTGTTTCGGTTTTGCCTTCGTTCGTCAGAGCTACTGGGAGAAAAGAACCGATGGGTGATTAAGAAAAAAAGAAAGAAAAGAAAAAAAAAAGATAACTGGAAAAACTATGGGGAGTAGTGATGGAAATTCACTGTAAGCTCACATAACCTCCTTATGATGAAAAATAAATGGAACCATTTCTTCCTCAGACCCCCATGGCCAGCAGGCCCACGGTCTTCCTGGGTGGAGGCCTGGAAACCTCAGCAGCTGGACTAAATGAGCTGAATTGTCAGCTAAAATGCTCCAGGGTTCCTTGGTTTCCTGTGTCTCCTTTATTAACATCTTAAAGACCTTGAGTCTGTGTGTGCCTTTTGATCTGAAGTGAGTCTTTTGTAGACAGCATATTTATTTATATGTCTTCTTTTGAAGAAAGCAAACTTGTTACATTTAAAAGGTCAATAGTGTAGGCCAGTGTTCGGCAAACTCATACATCAACAGGGACAACTATCGACAGCACAACGATTGAATTTTCTTTTGAGAGCCATCGTTGCAGCCCCATCGTGTGCACTGGTGAACACTAGAATTGTGTCTGACTCCCCAAGGGGCATGCTAGTCGCCCACCTGAACTTTTTACTCTCAGAGAACTTCCTACGGAATAGGTCATGGGTTCTTGACCCTACCCGCTAGTTAGGCTTTTTAGGTCGTGACTCGGACGGAAGCGGTGAACTGTGAAAACTAATCAAGGGAATTTCAATTACAGTTGGAGTCTGGAATGTCTCTAGAGGGAGCTCCCATGCTCTGAGCAAGAAGAGAAGACCTGGAAGGGGTTTCTACTTGACTCCCGCAGGCACAAGGGGAAGGAGGATTTACTCCTAGCCCAGCAACAAGCCCAGCCAAGGGGAAAAGTGCTGTGCAGCCAACCAACAGCCAACCATTGGCACCCTGAACTCTTTCATCCAATGAACTTCCACTTTTCTTTTTTTTTTTTTTTTTTTTTTTTTTTTTTTTTTTTTTTTAAATATATATTTTATTGATTTTGTACAGAGAGGAAGGGAGAGAGATAGAGAGTTAGAAACATCGATGAGAGAGAGTCATCGATCAGCTGCCTCTTGCACACCCCCTACTGGGGATATGCCCACAACCAAGGTACATGCCCTTGACCGGAATCGAACCTGGGACCCTTCAGTCCCCAAGCCGACGCTCTATCCATTGAGCCAAACCGGTCTTGGCTGAACTTCCACTTTTCTAATGATGTCATTGACTCACCTCCTTCCTATAAAAGACTTGCATTAAAAAATATATATTTTTCAATTACTTAGCCTCTGTGTATTTGTGTTTTTCAATTTTATTTATTTATTTTTTGTAATGGGTTTCTACTTTCATACTATTGTGGTCAGAAAAGATTTTTTGATATGCTTTCAATCTTCTTGAATTTATTGAGACTTGTTTTGTGGCTTAACATGTGGTCTATCCTGGAAAATGTTTCATGTGCACTTGAAAAGCATATATATTGTGCTGCTCTGAAAATATAAATTAAACCCATCTCGTGTAATGTGTCATTGAAAGCCACTGTTTCCTGTTGTTGTTTTTCTTTTTTTAAAAAAAATATTTATTTATTTTTTACAGAGAAGAAAGGAGAGGGATAGTGTTAGGAACATCAATCAGCTGCCTCCTGCACGCCCCCTACTGGGGATGTGCCCCGCAACCAAGGTACATGCCCTTAACTAGAATCAAACCTGGGACCCTTCAGGCCCAGGCCAACGCTCTATCCTCTGAGTCAAACCAATTAGGGCTCCTTTTTAATTTTCTGTCTGGAAGATCTACCCATTGTTGTCAGTGGGTTGTTAAAGTCCCCTGCTATGATGGTATTACTGTTGATCTCTCCCTTTATGACCGTCAATATTTGCTTTATATATTTAGGTGCTTCTGTGGTGGGTGCATAAGTGTTTACAGGTATTATATTCTTTAAAAAAACAAACACATTTTTATTGATTTCAGACAGGAATAGAGAGAGAAATATGCCCTGACTGGGAATTGAACTGTGACCTCCCAATCCACAGGTAAACGCTCCACCTCTAAACCATGCTGACTGGGCTCTTTTCCCATCTCTTAACCTTGAGTCTGTGTGTGCCTTTTGATCTGAAGTGGGTCTTTTGTAGACAGCATATATACGGGTTTTCTTTTGAAGAAGGCAAACTTGTTAAATTTAAAAGGTCAATAGTGTAGGCACAGCAGCCATGTACTGCCCTCTGTTGGCCAGGTAAGACATATGAGCTATGAGCTATGAGGTGCATGGATCTGTCAACACTAAAAGCCCACACCAGACTGAGACCTCTTCCCAGGCTTGCTGTTAGACCAGAATAAATTCGGTAAGATCGTGTTTTGGGGGTGCCTTCTAGTAGAAGTCACCCCCTGTCATTTCACACGAGAAAAACAGGCCTCATCCCAAGTTCTGTAGTTCAGAGAGTGGGTATTGAGCTCCTGAATCCGGCCTTGGGTTCTAGGACAGTCCTTGTCTGAGGAGAGGCCTGGTCAGGAAATACTGGAATGCACTCCTCCCCACAGCGACCCAGGGTGGAGGAGGCTCGGCCCCTTTTATGCTGAATCCGTGCTTACCCAATTCCAAATCTCACCCTCACTGGACACTTGGGAAACTGAGGCCCATAGAGATCCAGGGTATGTAACAGGCACCATCCAGAGGTCAGCAGTGCTCCGACCTTATAGGCAGGCAAGGGTTCTAACCTCTCCCATAAGGTTGGTTTGGAAATTAGAAATCCTAACATATTGGGAAGCTCTTGCCTATTTCTGCCTATGTGGGGACTGTGTTTTTCTGGGATCCAGTAAATGAGTGTACACAGACACACACACACACACACACACACACACAGACTCTCTCTCTCTCTCTCTCTCTCTCTCTCTCTCTCTCTCTCTCTGTCTCTCTCTCGACGTATCAACTATGGGAGGGATACTAAGAGGAGCATACACAAAGGAGGTGACAGCAGAAAGAAAATACCGTCTGGAGGCACTTCCTATACATGACAGCACTCCTCCAACTTTGTACCTATCTTCCCACATGTGCCTGAACAATATTATTTCTAAGAAGCCATGCTGGAGTAATATCATTGTGCGGGCAGGAGACAAGCAGGCCCTGACAGTCCCAATGGCTCCTCCAGGTTCAAGAAGAAGGGGACTCTGGGAAGGGGGTCACAGGAAGTGAGGTCGCTCCCCTAAAGAACTTAGAACCCCCTGTTACCAGGCAGCCACATTCTAGCCACAGCCCAACTGCCAGTCCACTCGGCAAGAGACACTTGGTAGTTGAAGATGGCCTCTTGCTGGACCCCCGGTTCTTGGGGCTCCTGCTTGCGGAGACCCCGCAGTGGGAGATTTTCCAAACTGTGGAGACGCCGGTTTAACCCTCCTCCTACCCGGCGTCTCTGGCCGTTCTCCAGGCGGTCCCCTCAGGTAGCCTGTCCTCCCGGCTGAGGCCGGGCCACCTCTGGGAGCCATCCCTGGGCAGCCCCATCCCATCCTGTCCATGTGGGGGAAGAGGGACCGAAGGGAGGACCCTGGGCAGGAGCAGGTTGCAGGGCGGGGCACCTCCTAGTGATGCTGTCATGGTCACAGCCAGCTCGGGGCTGGCAGGGTGGAGAGGGGCTTTCCGAGGGCCTTTCCTCTGTGCCAGTGAGAACCCTAGGCCCTCAGCCATCACGTCTTTCCTGTCCTCTGTGGAGGTGTGAGTGAATGTGGTGAATGTGTCTGGAGTGGGAAGAATCACAGAGTCTGCGAAGCACAGACTGGGCTCTGAGGCTTTCCGCCTGGCGGCTGGGCACTGTCTTTACAGAGTTTCCCACAGGAGGCCAGACAGGAGGCCAGACGGGAGCTGGCTGATGGGGTTCCCCCACAGGAGGCACAGGGGCCCCACGCTGCCAAAGGAGAGCAGCTTGTTCTGAAGGTGAGTGCGGAGGCCCGGTGACCCTCCCTCCAGGACCCCAGTAGTCAAAGGGGCCCGGGCCCAGAAGCCACCCTGCTACTCCCCTGAGCCCCTCCTTAGAGTCCTGCTCCCAAAGGAATCTGGGTTTCCCGCTTCTCCCCCAGCCCACCCTCGCTGTGCAGCCCCTCCTGGCCAGGAGCAAAGTCACTGTGCGCATGTCTGCAGGACTATCAGAGAGGAGGCTTTTGTATCAGTCCACCTCATGTTCAGGCAAGAGGAGTTTTGCATTTTTCTACAGATTTTCCTGTTTGAACACCCATCCCCAGGTGTCCCTGTTGGCCTGACGATCCTTATACTCCTTCTCCCAGTCTTACCCATCATCATGATTAGTAGGGATGCTTTTCCCCCAAAAAAAATACGGGGCTCATGGTACCATATCTGTTGCTTTGCAATTTTCGGTCCCGGAGGCATGCTTCCCCATGGTTCCCCCAGGTCTGGAGCAGGGAATCTCCCAGAGCTGTATATCATACTCCCAGGAGGACTGGTTACCATGGCGATTCAGTCCTTCACTGCTGTGGGACCTGGAGTGACCCCCTTCTGTTGCCATGTCAACGATGCTGCCCTGAACATGTACATGTCCTAATCTCCTGACCCCTCCCACCCCATGATAAACTTCTGTGTTCTCATCTTGAGCAATGGCTGCTTTGTCAGAAATCCCAGGGGTGACACCGTTAATACAGGGACGTGTCGTTGACCCACAGCTAGCAAAATATGACCTGAGTCACTAAGGTGCTTCGTTGTTCCCCTCCTCCAGTTCTACT